TTTGTGATGATGCCTCCAACGCATATTTTAACGTCCTTAGCCTTCGTGTTGGGCATGTTGTACAGATGAATTGCTACCCTTGATGCTAAATCCATGGTCGACCATCCTCCTCGCACACAATCATCGAGTGATGGCCCGTCGTGAAATTCTTGAAGCGCCAAATATAGGTAACCCATCTCGAGCTTATGGATCTTACCCGGTTCGTCACGAGCGAATATGGAGTTAGACATGAATTGATGAGCATATCTGATCGCCGGGTGCTAGATCCAAGAAATCTTGCCTTTAGAACTGGAATATCTTCGGATGGCTATTTTCTGCCAGAATTCTTGGAACACATAGGCGGATATCGTCAGTATGAGCGAGTGTGTTCCCTTGGGGACGCCTAGGATGTCTGCAAACTGGGACATGTTGAGCCGCACCCATTTTTTGTTCAACATGAATTCCATGTAGGCGTTCTCTATGGAATTTTCCTCGGGGAAGTAGCATGTGTAGGTCGCGAGGAACTCCCGATTGATGCTTCGGAAGATTGGTTCTGCACTTTTGTACAGTCTCTCCCAGCCCAATTTCTCAAAGATGTAGTCGACGTTCGCTTGAATTCCCAGCAGCCGAGTGGTGCGATCACATACGAACTTGCTTCCCCGTTGTTTGATCGTGTTTAGGTGTCGAGCTTTCGTATAGGCCTCGTCATGCCTATCAATCTTCACGGTTTTCATCGGTCCCTCTATCAAATCATCGATCGGTGCCTCTAAAATCTCGGTGATTGTTCCGGGTCGCATGTCCCTCTTTTTAGAACCTTCTCGCTCTTGAGAAGAACTTGAATTTTCACTTGTTCGGGGTCTTTTCGAGCCATATTAGAGAGGAGGTTTTTCGCGAGAGAGAGAGCTTGCTCAGCGGCGAAGTGACGAGACGACGGAGGACGGACGACGGCGAGTAGCGGCGGCGGTTCGACCGAAAAGGAGAGAGAGAGATTTTGCCGAAGTGAGTGAGGAAAGGGGAGGAGTTGCGGGCGAAAGAGAGTGTGAGAGAGAGGGTGGGGTCTCAATACCCTCTCTCTTTTGTGTCCTTTTTTCGTTTTTTTTTATACGGGCGGTCGCTCGTTTTATGGGCGACCGCTCGTTCTTTTCTTCATTTTGCGCAGAAGAAACGAGCGGGTCGCCCAAAAAATGGGCATCGGACGACTGCTCGATTCCCTTTTTTTCTCTTTCTGATGAGCTGATCGCTCATAAAATGAGCGACCGCCCGCTTCCCCCTGTTTTTCGACGCAAAACGGATCTTTCCTCGCGCTCGTGTTGTATTTGATCAAAGAGGTTGTTACGAGGGGATTTTGGAGGTTTGATTAAGAAAAGAGAAAAGGAACAAAGAAGGTGAAGAATGTACATCCCAGTATGAACCGGGTTGCTAGTTAAGGTCGTAGCTAGACCGAAATGCGGTTCAATCAGAGTACAGAGGTACCTCCTTCTGGTCTAATACTCCCTGGATTGTCGAGTTCTACCGCTCCATGAGAGGTAACGTTCTTTATGATGAACGGTCCCGACCACCTTGATTTAAGTTTTCCTGGAAAAAGTTTTAGTCGAGAATTAAATAAAAGAACGAGGTCACCTTGTTGGAAATTTCGATTGAGGATGTGCCGGTCGTGCCACTTCTTGGCCCGCTCCTTGTAAATCCGCGCGTTTTCATATGCGTCCAAGCGAATTTCCTCTAGGTGATGGAGCTCTAGCACTCGTTTTTCCGCTGCGGTTTTCCAATCGTAATTCAATGCCTTAATCGCCCAATATGCCTTATGCTCCAACTCAACCGATAGGTGGCAAGCTTTCCCATAAACGAGTTGAAATGGAGTCATCCCGATAGGCGTCTTGAATGTCGTTCAATAGGCCCAAACCGCATCCTCAAGCTTCAAAACCCAGTCCTTTCTTGACTTGGCCACTGTTTTCTCCAAAATTTGTTTGATCTCTCGGTTAGAGACTTCTACTTGACCGCTCGTTTGGGGATGGTAGGGAGTGACTACTCTATGGTGAACACCATATTTAGTCAATATGCTCTGAATCACTCTATTAACAAAGTGTGATCCTCCATCACTTATCACCACTCTTGGGACTCCAAACCGAGGAAATATGACTCTTTTGAACATCCGTGACACAGTGCTTGAATCATTCTTCGGACTAGCAAGTACCTCCACCCATTTCGTCATATAGTCTACTGCCACAAGAATGTATAGGTTGCCGCAAGATGATGGAAACGGTCCCATAAAGGCCCCATAAAATCTATTCCCCAGACGTCAAATGGTTCCACCTCCAATATAAAGTTCTGTGGCGCTTCATTTCTCCGCGAGATGTTACCCGTTCTTTGACAAGCATCGCATGAGCTTACAAAAGCGTGGACATCCTTGAACAAAGTTGGCCAATAGAAACCCGATTGTAGGATCTTTGCGGCTGTCTTGGTCGAGGCAAAATGCTCTGCGTAATCCGATGCGTGGCAATGATGTATCACTTGCTTCACTTCTTCCTCCGGAATGCATCTTCGAAATAATCCGTCCTTACCTCTCTTAAACAAGAAAGGTTCATCCCAAAAGTAGTCTCTAACATCGTGGAAGAACTTTTTCTTCCCGTTGTAGCTTAGCTCCGGGGGTACCACCTTGGCAACCAAATAGTTGACATAATCTGCATACCAAGGAGTGACGTTCTTGATCTCCAAGGATAAGATGTGTTCTTCCCTTAGGGAATCGTCGATTGGTATAGCTTCGGGTATTTCCAATCTAGATAGATGATCCGCCACTGTGTTCTCCGTTCCTTTCCTATCGCGGATCTCTAGATCAAACTCTTGCAGAAGCAACACCCATCGGATCAATCTTGGTTTAGCATCCTTCTTCGTGAGCAAGTACCTCAAGGCGGCGTGATCCGTGTATACGATCACCTTAGAACCCACCAAGTATGATCTAAATTTCTCGAAGGCAAACACTACAGCAAGGAGCTCTTTCTCCGTGGTGGAGTAATTCATTTGAGCGTCATCGAGCGTTCGACTTGCGTAGTATACGCCGTAATGCTTCTCATCTTTCTTTTGTCCCAATACGACCCCGACCGCGAAGTCGCTAGCATCACACATTAACTCAAAAGGAACACTCCAATCCGGGGGTTGAATGATCGGAGGTGATACTAGTGCCTTCTTTAATATACCAAATGCCTTGTGGCACTCCCCATTAAACTCAAATGGGGCCTCCTTGCCCAAAAGCGCAGTCAAGGGTCTCGTTATCTTCAAAAAATCTTTGATAAATCTCCTGTAAAATCCGGCGTGACCCAAGAAACTTTGGATTCCTTTAACGTTAGTCGATGATAGTAGCTTCTCAATCACTTCCACTTTCGCTCTATCCACTTGTATCCCCTTGTCCGAAATCCGATGACCAAGTACAATGCCCTCTCGCACCATGAAGGGCATTTCTCCCAATTCAAAACCAAGTTCGCCTTGAGACACCTGTCTAACACTCGATGGAGATTGGTTAAACACGCATCAAAGGAGGGTCCATGGACGGAAAAATCGTCCATGAACACCTCCATAATATCTTCAATGACATCGGAGAAAATAGCCATCATGCATCTTTGAAAAGTTGCGGGTGCATTGCATAATCCAAATGGCATGCGTCTATATGCGAAAGTGCCGTAAGGGCATGTGAATGTTGTTTTCTCTTGGTCAATCTGAAAGAAACCGGAGTAACCATCGACGAAACAAAAATAAGAATGCAGTGCAAGTCTCTCTAACATTTGGTCAATGAATGGAAGGGGGAAATGATCCTTACGGGTGTTTGTGTTAAGTTTTCGATAATCAATGCACATTCTCCATCCCGTAACAGTTCTAGTCGGTATGAGTTCATTGTTTTCATTTGGAACGACCGTGATTCCTCCCTTCTTAGGCACGACTTGCACCGGGCTAACCCAAGGGCTATCCGAAATCGGGTAAATAATACCCGCATCTAACAATTTCAAAACCTCTTTCTTGACTACTTCTTTCATGTTCGGGTTTAGCCTACGTTGATGTTCGATTGACGATTTGGTATCATCCTCTAAATGTATGCGATGCATGCAAAGAGAGGGGCTAAGACCCTTGATGTCTCCTAGAGTGTAACCTAGGACTTCCCTATATTGCCTAAGCAATTTGGTGAGTTTTTCTACTTGATCCTCATCTAATGCATCATTAACGATAACGGGATAAGTAGAATTTGAACCAAGAAAGACATATCTAAGCCCTTGGGGTAAGGGCTTTAGTTCCACTTGTGGAGCATGTTCGAGGTCCCAATCAGTGTATGATTTCTCTTTTGAACCTTGAGATGAGTCAAGAATGGTATGGGTGGTCGACAGGATGCTTCCGGGGTCCAAGTCTTCATCTCCAGTTGAAAACGAGCTGGTCGCCCATTTTTCGGGCGGGTCGCTCGCTTCTACAGTGTCTGGATCATTTTCGCTCAGAGAAAACGGGCGGATCGTCCATTTTGACGGGCGGTCGCTCGCTTCTACAGTGCCTTGATCGTTTTTGCTCAGACAATTCGAGCGTGTCGCCCATTTTTTTACACTGGGTCGCCCGTTTTTGGTCTCGGTCGCTCGAGTGAACAGTGTTACTGCTCAGACAAAATGAGCTGGTCACCCATTTTTCGGGCGGGTCTCCCATTTTACGCTGCACTTCGCCATCAGGTCTTGAAAGTGGGTGGGTCGCCCATTTTTCGGGCGGGTCGCCCGTTTTTGCTGAAATTTCATTTTCGGCTTCTTGACCGTCCAACGCTCGTCTTATCACTTTAATCTCCTTCCAATTACTATATAAATTTGTTTCTACGACCATTAGTGACGCTTCAAGTGGGTCTACCTTACAAAATTCTCCAATCACTTCTTCAGTCGTTGCTTCAAGTATATCCGCATAACACACCATATCATTGGTCGAGGGTTGCTTCAAATTCTGGTCAAGTGAGAATTCAACTGTTTCATCTCCAATCTTCATAGTTAATCTCCCAGCCCGAACGTGCACTACGGCATCCGCTGTACTAAAAAATGGTCGGCCTAAAATGATCAGAACTTTGGAGTCTTCATCCATGTCTAGCACAACAAAATCGACCGGTACATAAAACTCACCAATCTTCAAAGGTACATCTTCTAATATTCCCGCTGGGTACTTGATCGATCTATCCGCTAATTGTAATGCCATCCTTGTCAGTTTTAGCTCACCGACGTTCAATTTCTTGTAGATTGACAAGGGCATTAAACTTACACTCGCTCCAAGATCACACAAGGTTCGATCGATGTCGATGTTTCCTAGCTTACAAGGGACAGAGAAACTTCCCGGATCAGCCATTTTCGGGGGAAGTTCATGCTTCATGATTGCCGCACTGATCTCGGTACTAAGGGCTACTGTTTCTTTTTCCACAACCCTTTTTCTCGTCAAGATGTCTTTCAGAAACTTCGCATATGAGGGCATTTGGAGAATTACCTCATGAAAGAGAATCGTAATCTCCATTTTTTTCAACATCTCCGCAAACTTCCTTTCCTCATTAAATTTCCTTAGACGAGAAGGGAAAGGGATTTGAGGTACCTTAGGTGGCGGTGGAATGTAGACGGGTTCTTTCTCTTGATCGATCACCTTAGAAATGCTCTCATCTATCACTTTGCCTTCTTCCTCCCTTGTTAGCCCTGGAGGTGGTGTCTTCTCAACCATCGGAGGGGTGATCTCCGAGAGTTGTTTTCCACTCCTTAACTCCACTGCATTGATGTATTCCCGAGGGTTCATCTCGTTCTTACCGGGAAGCATGCCTTGCTGTCCTGATGAGGAGGAAGATGCAAGTTGAGCCACTTGATTGTCCAAGATCTTCAAGTGAGCTTGTACTCCTTCCAATTGTTTCTTGAATACAACTTGTTCATTCTCAATGCTCCCAATGGACACTCCTTGCGATTTTTGAACTTGAAGGATTTGCGTAAGCATGTCCTTAATGTCCGGGTCTTGCTCCTTAGGTTGCACTTGCTGTGGCCTATAATTGGAATTCTCTTGATAACCTTGACTCCCTTGGCCTTGTTGTTGATACTTTGATTGAAAACCCGGAGGTCCTTGGTTGTTCCGTTGGAAAACGGGTTGAGGATTTATCGCATTCGACGTGTTCTTGTAGGAGAAATTGGGATGATTTCTCAATCCCGGGTTGTATAGGTTGGATGGATGAGTTTAGTAAATCCCGACGTCTGGACCGATCGGTCCAGACCTGGACCAATCGGTCTGGAGCTTTTTAACGTCTGGACCGATCGGTCTGGAACAATTTCACACGTTACCTCTGGACCGACCTGTCTACGTCTAGACGATCGGTCTGGGTTAGCTGGACCGATCGGTCCAGACCTTCTGGACCGGACGGTCTGGCCTCCGCTCCACTGGGATTTTCTCATCTCTTTTCGCGCATTCGTCCTTTCCTGTGTGTGTGACCCTTTAGGCTCATCCGATATAGCAGTATAACATGAAATCTCTTATTTCGGTTACACAAGTCATAGGCGGTCTCTAGCAAGACACTATGACTACCTATCTCGAATAGAGTTTGTTCGTGATCCTACGAACGCCAGCGATGATTCCGTTTGATGATCCTTTTGTATCACGATATCATATGTCGAATATAAGGCATGGACAAGCCACCTTATCTGATTCGACTACTTTCTCGTTCACTGAGTTCGACTATCTGAAATAGACGACGTTTGTCTATAGTGCGGCCACACATTTCTACAGTCTCGCTCACACGAGGGGCCCAGCGATATCTCTCTCTTTTACGAGAGGTACAAATCCCGTCTTGACTATCTACAATTCAACACATGATTCGTTTCGTACCTGATACACGCCTTTATAGTCCTCCTGTTACGCAGGACGTTTGACGTAATCAAAGTACGCAACTCCTCATGTTGGATTCCGTAGATATCTCAGGTCTTAGGATCCAATCATGGAACCGTCATATGAGATTCAAGTCATGACGCTAGTCCATGTGACAATCTCATGCGGATCAATCCAGTATTCCGTTCTCCAACGAATACCTATGATTGTGATCGTATCCAAATACCTATGATTATCCATATGATCATCAATCACACATCATACTAGTCTTGTTATATCATCATTCCCATAATGACACAAGACTAGGGAGTTAAGTATCATTCATAATGATACATGGATTTCATAACACATCTAGTATGCAAGAACATGTAATGAATCAAATACTCTCATAAACCATAGAAAGTATCAATACATCAAATGTATCTAAATAAAACTCATAAACAGTACATCATAGAGCACTAAACCAACACTGCGTTCTCTCCCACATCACCTTTCACTGAGCTTCTCCTACTGAACTCGTTGGACGTATGGCTGCGTCCCTTGGCCAGTTTTGCAATTGTCACCTCTAGCTCTTGGAAAGGGATGTCATATATGTCACCTCCACACGTTGCATCAATCCAAAACCGAGTATCATCCTTCAACCCATGGATAAAGATGGACAGAAGGAAGTGTCTTTCCATTCCATGGTGAGGGCACATTCTTTGATATTCCTTGAAGCGTTCCCATGCGTCATGGAGATTCTCCCCATCCTCATGTACCATTAATCCGATTCCTCACATGTTGAGTCTTGGTAGGGGAGTAGTATTGCATAAGGAATTGCTCTTCTATCTCACCCCATGTCGATATAGAGTTTGGCTCAAAAGTGTAGAGCCAATCTCTAGCTCTCTCTGTAAGCGAGTAGGGGAAGGTTTCAAGAAACACATCTTCAAGAGTAATCCCCGGTCCCTTCTTGATTGCCTTACAGTTCATCTTGAAGTTCGTAAGATGAGCATTCGGGTCCTCATTTGGTCTCCCACGGAAACTCATGTTGTTGAGCATTTGGATGCATTGCGGTAGGAGTTCAAGTTCTTCTAGTGGTCCCCGATTGATGCATGATAGTAACTGAGTATGCTTCGGTTGTGTGTACGTTCGAAGCGTTCTAGGGGCTGCTTGGGCTGGACCTCTTTGGGCATTGGCCCCTCTCAACAGCTCTTCGGCCATCTTGGGTTGTTCTCTTCGTGCGTTGTTTTCTCTCAGCATTTTTTCGGCCATTCCCCACTGTCTTTGCTGTCTACGAGCGAAGCGTAGGGTCCTTTCTATTTCAGGGTCGAAGATGAGTTGATCTCTACCGGTTGTGCTTCTTGTCATGCACCGGAAGAGCTGCACACCAAAGAGACGAAACGAACCGAAAGTGCTGTGAAACGGTTATGTCGCAAAGTAGTCCAAGCAAGTACCCAAGCAATGGTGATCTAGCAAAAATCTAGACTAACACGAAAACGCCTAGTCCCCGGCAATGGCGCCAAAAACTTGATGCGCACGCACCGAGTCTTATATTTAATACCCGATTCGTACCACTATCCGCAAGTATACGGTAGTTGTAGTACCGGGGTCGAACACGAGGACTAGGATGTATTAGTCTATCTCTAAGCTAGATTAGGTGGTCAAATAAAAATATGGTTTGTGATAAATGTCGGAATACAAGAAAGCAAGTAAAATTAATCGGTTTGTAAAAACGATGATTTAAGGCGTTGTAGGTTCGGGATCCCTCAAGGTTCGCATGGACGGTTAGTGATGCTACAATACCTATGGGTTTATCTTCCAATTGGGGGTTTCAAGCACTTCCTCTAGAGTTTGTCTCTCCCGAGCTTAAATTCACTACCTAGAGAATCGATTCACCCATTTTCCAATGATCCAAATGATCTCTAGATACATTAGTGTACCCTATCATGAACCCTAAACAAGTTAAGCCATCTCCCAATGTGAATAACTCACTCATTTGACATTTGGTTCCAAACATCATTCCCATATCCCTATGATCAATGTGTTCTATAGTCATATCAATTAGGGTTTCGCCCAAATCAATAGCATTAAGCACAAAACATCAAGCCAATGGAAGAAAACTCAAAGACATCATAGATTAAGCTTAGGTGTCCATACAAAAGTGGGGATCCCTCACCCACAACAATGTCACTACCCCATAACTAGGGTTTCAAAACAGAAAGCAAAATGAAGAAACATGGAAAAGGAGAAGAAATGTTCAAGATGGTCTTCAATGGTGGTCTTCTTCTTCTCCTAGCCTCCTTGATCTCCAAAATCCCTCCTTCTCCTCTTCCAATCAAGTGTCTCTCTAAAGTGTCTAGCCCCCCTTCTCTCTCCTCAAACTCCCCTTTTTATGAAAGTCTATAATTAGGTTTTCTCCTCAAAACACGGGCTTTTCCTTTTTGGGCCGATTTTGATTTTAGGCGGGTCGCTCATTTTTCTTCCGGTCGCCCATTTTTCGGGCGGATCGCTCATTTTCCTCTGACACGCGAAAAAGCGAGCGACCGCTCATTTTTTGAGCGACCGCTCACAAAATGGGCGACCGCCCATAAAATGGGCGGGTCGCACGTTTTGTCTGAGCTTCCCGAGCATTCTCATATTCTTGTTCTTCCGTGCCCGCTTCGTGAGGATTCATCGTGGAGTCTTCCTGCAAGGAAAAACAAGCAAAACAACCTACCCATGGCCATCTAATGTCTTATGATGCCTAGAATGTGAGAAGAATTGTGATGCATGACGTTATAAAACCGGTGAAAAACCCGTGTGATCACTTTAATATGTTATGAAATCCATGTATTGTTATGAACAATACTAAACTCCCTAGTCGTGTATCATTATGGGAATAATGATATACTAAGACTAGTATGATGTGTGATTGATGATCATATAGATGATCATAGGTATTGGATACGATCACAATCGTAGGTATTCGTTGGAGAACGGAATACTGGAATGACCCGCATGAGATTGTCATAAAAATTTAATAAACCCTAGAACCATGCTTCTATGAATCGTAGAAACGTTAGAACGCTTACCTCAATCGATCCGGGGCCTGTATCAATTGAAGAATTCGTCTGATCACGAAAGGGAGGAAGAATACCTCGCCCTCTACACGTATCGACACCTCGGGATGGATTCCAACGGTTGGAACTTGTCTGCTAGGATCCGAATCTGCTATTCGGTTTCACGCTTCGAGAAAACGAGACTTGGATCACCTTTCAAAACTCTTGGCTCTCACCAAAAAGTCTGTAGAAAAGTTGTAAAGTCGGCACTCAAAGTCTCTTTCTGTATTAGGGTTTTTAATCTCCTTCTTATAAGGTGATTTAACCCTAATTCGGTCTAATTTTCGAAAAACCCGAAGCCTAGAACGGACGGTCCAGAAATGCACGTGGACCGTCCGTTCCAGCACCTAGAATGGACGATCTACCATTAGTGGACCGTCCGTTCCAGAACGGACAGTCCGTTCTGGACCGTCGGGTCTGGACCTGGCGGATTGTCCGTTCCGGACTTCTGGTCCGTCCGTTCCGGACTTCTGGTCCGTCCGTTCCAGACCCTTCCGTCTTGGTTTTTCCGTCGTTTTCTCGTGCGTTTTGTCCTTCCCTGCCTGTGTGGCCCTG